ATAAAAGAGAACATCCCAATCCAGTGAAGGGGTTTGTGGAAACTGTGGTTCCTAATTATTGTGATCCAACATTTGCCTCGCATTTCAGGATGAAAAGACAAACATTTCAGGTGAAGGATCATCCACTTCTAACCTCCGAGACTGTGTTATGATCTATACGATCTTATTATTTTTATTGTGAGTATTAGGCTTATCATTATTGCTGATCGCTGTTGTTTTGATATGATATTGTAATATTTATTCAACAAATACTCTTTTATATAAATAATAGTAATATTTATTGTTTTGTGTTCGTGATGGTGATTTTAGTGACTTCCGTAATTAGACGGCGACAAGAGATTGTTTTTCTGAGTGAGTCCCGCAGTAAAGACTTTTATGTTGAAAGAGCCTGAAACGCTGTTGTAAATAAGGAAGTTCTTTTTACTTTCAACAACAGCTTGTAAGATGCGGTTAACAAATGTAGTGTCATCAGAAATCAGGATAGTACGACAAAGATATGGCTTTCCTCAGCGGACATTCGAACTCATGTTTTATTGTGAATATGAGATTGAGCTGAAGAATGAATGCTGCATCAGATGCAGGTAATCACACTCTCAGTCCATCTCTCTCTCATCATACAGTGAGCTTTAATACAGTAATACAATACACTTTTAATGAAGCAACTCAACGTTCCTTCGTTACTAAAGGTCTAACGTGGCGTTCTGGAATTAGTAACAGATCTTGAGCTCAGCTATTAAACTGTCAAGCAGAGATTTGAATCCGTGGCGGAAGGAAGTAGTTCTCCACAAAAGAGGGTTTTTAAAGACACTCCGTTGTTGTTTCTTATGTATTTACACACTCGTGCTGTCAAACTGTTGTATAAACACAATATCACACTCGTAGCTGTGTGATATGGCTGTATATCAGCACAGATATGATTACCTATGGCCGAGTCACATCCGTGCCGATATACATAGGGTGACCATATGTGCCATTTTCGGCACGTATGGTCACCCTAGATATACAGCCATATCTCACGACTACTCGTGTGATATTGTTCATATATATACAGTATATATATATATATATATTAGTTTTGAATAAAATATTTGTTTTTAATTAATATTTTAAATTTAGTTCAAGTTTTAGTAATTTTGTTGTGTTTTTGTCATTTCTATTAGTGTTTTTTTATGTCTATATAGTTTTTATTAATTTAATTTTTTTAATTTTTAGTTAGTTTTGGGTAATTCTAACAGGCAGGTCTCAATAATCTATAATTTGTTCCAGAGCAAATAGTTTTGGCTGAGGGCAAAATCTCATCACGTTATATTTTATGTAACTTTAATGCTGTATTTCAGAGCGCTGCCTTTGTACTTTTGACTGAATTGCCTTAGCAACTTTTATGATGGCTATTGTTGTTGTTTATTAAATATTATTATTCAACAAATACTCTTTTATATAAATAATAGTAATATTTATTGTTTTGTGTTCGTGATGGTGATTTTAGTGACTTCCGTAATTAGACGGCGACAAGAGATTGTTTTTCTGAGTGAGTCCCGCAGTAAAGACTTTTATGTTGAAAGAGCCTGAAACGCTGTTGTAAATAAGGAAGTTCTTTTTACTTTCAACAACAGCTTGTAAGATGCGGTTAACAAATGTAGTGTCATCAGAAATCAGGATAGTACGACAAAGATATGGCTTTCCTCAGCGGACATTCGAACTCATGTTTTATTGTGAATATGAGATTGAGCTGAAGAATGAATGCTGCATCAGATGCAGGTAATCACACTCTCAGTCCATCTCTCTCTCATCATACAGTGAGCTTTAATACAGTAATACAATACACTTTTAATGAAGCAACTCAACGTTCCTTCGTTACTAAAGGTCTAACGTGGCGTTCTGGAGCTCAGCTATTAAACTGTCAAGCAGAGATTTGAATCCGTGGCGGAAGGAAGTAGTTCTCCACAAAAGAGGGTTTTTAAAGACACTCCGTTGTTGTTTCTTATGTATTTACACACTCGTGCTGTCAAACTGTTGTATAAACACAATATCACACTCGTAGCTGTGTGATATGGCTGTATATCAGCACAGATATGATTACCTATGGCCGAGTCACATCCGTGCCGATATACATAGGGTGACCATATGTGCCATTTTCGGCACGTATGGTCACCCTAGATATACAGCCATATCTCACGACTACTCGTGTGATATTGTTCATATATATACAGTATATATATATATATATATTAGTTTTGAATAAAATATTTGTTTTTAATTAATATTTTAAATTTAGTTCAAGTTTTAGTAATTTTGTTGTGTTTTTGTCATTTCTATTAGTGTTTTTTTATGTCTATATAGTTTTTATTAATTTAATTTTTTTAATTTTTAGTTATTTTACATGGGTACATAAAGTTAAATTAAATAAAAACAATAAATGTTGCTTTATTGGCAACTAGCTGTTTTGGGTAATTCTAACAGGCAGGTCTCAATAATCTATAATTTGTTCCAGAGCAAATAGTTTTGGCTGAGGGCAAAATCTCATCACGTTATATTTTATGTAACTTTAATGCTGTATTTCAGAGCGCTGCCTTTGTACTTTTGACTGAATTGCCTTAGCAACTTTTATGATGGCTATTGTTGTTGTTTATTAAATATTATTATTCAACAAATACTCTTTTATATAAATAATAGTAATATTTATTGTTTTGTGTTCGTGATGGTGATTTTAGTGACTTCCGTAATTAGACGGCGACAAGAGATTGTTTTTCTGAGTGAGTCCCGCAGTAAAGACTTTTATGTTGAAAGAGCCTGAAACGCTGTTGTAAATAAGGAAGTTCTTTTTACTTTCAACAACAGCTTGTAAGATGCGGTTAACAAATGTAGTGTCATCAGAAATCAGGATAGTACGACAAAGATATGGCTTTCCTCAGCGGACATTCGAACTCATGTTTTATTGTGAATATGAGATTGAGCTGAAGAATGAATGCTGCATCAGATGCAGGTAATCACACTCTCAGTCCATCTCTCTCTCATCATACAGTGAGCTTTAATACAGTAATACAATACACTTTTAATGAAGCAACTCAACGTTCCTTCGTTACTAAAGGTCTAACGTGGCGTTCTGGAGCTCAGCTATTAAACTGTCAAGCAGAGATTTGAATCCGTGGCGGAAGGAAGTAGTTCTCCACAAAAGAGGGTTTTTAAAGACACTCCGTTGTTGTTTCTTATGTATTTACACACTCGTGCTGTCAAACTGTTGTATAAACACAATATCACACTCGTAGCTGTGTGATATGGCTGTATATCAGCACAGATATGATTACCTATGGCCGAGTCACATCCGTGCCGATATACATAGGGTGACCATACGTGCCATTTTCGGCACGTATGGTCACCCTAGATATACAGCCATATCTCACGACTACTCGTGTGATATTGTTCATATATATACAGTATATATATATATATATATATATATTAGTTTTGAATAAAATATTTGTTTTTAATTAATATTTTAAATTTAGTTCAAGTTTTAGTAATTTTGTTGTGTTTTTGTCATTTCTATTAGTGTTTTTTTATGTCTATATAGTTTTTATTAATTTAATTTTTTTAATTTTTAGTTATTTTACATGGGTACATAAAGTTAAATTAAATAAAAACAATAAATGTTGCTTTATTGGCAACTAGCTGAAAAAGTAGGTTTGTTTTACATTTTATTTTGAAATAAACATTTATTTTTTAATTATTAATATTTTATATTTATTTAAAGTTTTAGTAATTTTTTGGCATTAATATTTTTTATTATTTTGTATTTCAATGTTTATTAATTTAGTACATCAAACTAAATGAAAATGAGAGTTTTTAACATTAACGTTTATTTTATTTCTAGTAACATTTTTAAAAAACGTTTTGAAACATATTTTTTTCATTAGCAGCGTTAGTGCGTGAACTTCAGAGCATGATGGACGTCCTGCTCTGACAATAACATCTGCTTACAGATGATTCACAGCTGATATAGACTGTGACGACACTTTAATTAAAATGTCCAAATCAGATCATCTCTATGACTTTGATTGTGATGAAGCCACCATCTCTCTCTCTCACACACACACACACACACACACACATCTATAGATCTCATAAATTACTCCAGTTCATCAGGAGAGGGATTTGCAAGTTAAAGGAGACATATTATGCCCCTTTTTACAATATGTAATATAAGTCTCTGGTGTCCCCAGAATGTGTCTGTGAAGTTTCAGCTCAAAATACTCCACAGATCATTTATTATATCATTTTGAAAATGTCTATT